GTCTTCAACCGTGAATCCGGATGGGAGTGACGATGTCGGGGCGCAACGGGAGACGCATCTTCCGGACGCTTATCGCGCGGCCCGATCGAGCTACGGCTTTTCGGGCCGAGCAGGAGAATAATCGATCGGCAGCTAGTGGCACGTGGGGGCGGAGGCGCGCTCCTCTCCCTCCCGCGATGGCTTTGAAAACGGTGGCCGACGGTGGCGCCCCCGGCCAAACAAACGGCGCCGCGACGCTTGGCCGAGGCGCGCACTCCCGCGACGACCGCGCGACCGGTGCCACGCGCCCCAAGTCCGACGCTCTACTCGCTGCAATTACTCGCTGCAACTACTCGCTGCAACTACTCGCTGCAACTACGCGCTACAACTACTAGCTGCTACTACTCGCCGCTAAAACTCGCTACTGCCTAAGGCTAGCCGACGAGGAGGATGTGGAAGAGAGCGCGAGTGAGCGCGCGCTAATCGAGTTTCGCCACTCGGCGCTGAATTTCGTTCGCCATTTTCGTCGTCGTCGTCGTCGTCGTCGTCGTCGTCGTCGTCGGCGGTGGCGGCGGCCCCGCTCACGATTTCCCACGGCGTCCGAGTGAAAGTAGCCGCGCGATTCCGATCTCGCGGACTCGCCGGGGCCGCGCCTTCACCGCCAGCCGCGAGCCGCGGCACTCCCTCACCTCCCTCCAGCCGACGAGTTCGCGAACGCCGACGGCGAAGGACGATGGGTCGAGCGGCCGGAGAACGGTGATAGGGCCCAGCAGCCCGAGTCCGATCGAGGTCCGAGCTCGCGTCCGGGCCAGCCGCGATATCGCGGCTCGCAGGACCGAGTACCCGGGACGAGGTGTGCGCGTGCTTCAATCGGTGCTGACACAGAGGGGCCTACCGGAGTGCCCGAGAGCCAGACACGTTCGGCTGCCAGTCGAGACGACGCCAGGATGCCGCCGAGCGCGTGGCTGCTCCTCGGGCTGCTCGCGTTGGCGATCGGCCAACCTGGCCTCGCCACGGAGCAGCGATTCGCGGAGACGCCGGCACAGTACCAGGAGGTCTCACAGGGCGAGGACGTGAGACTGCGGTGTCGCGTGCAAGACAAGCGGGGTCAGTGCATCTGGCAGAAGGACCGGAAGCCCGTGGGCATGCATCCGGACAAGTACGAGTGGGCCGGGGCTAGAGACGGCGACTGCTCGCTCCTCGTAAAGCGGGCAAGCCTCGACTTCGACGACGGGCTCTGGGAATGCCAGGTGACACCCGGGGACTTTACGCGCCAGGACGCCCTCACCTCCAATCCCGCCCGCTTGCTCGTAAGAGGTAAGACTCGCTTACATATGGCCGAGGCGTTAGTTCTCCGATGAGATGACACCCGCCGCCTCGTCCCCGGCCGCAAACTACCCTCGGCAGTTCGAGCCCACTGACCCCGGGACTCGAGACGAGAATCGTGCCACTCTTTGGAGATAAGCGAATCGCTCGGACGTCTGCCGATGCCGTAGATGATTTTCGGCTCCGTTGCCCCTCCATACGGGGATTGCATCCGCCTCGGCGAGCCTCGCTTCCTTCACCCCGCCCTCTAATTGCAAGGAAAAGTCTACTACTCGACTCTTCGATACTGCCTTAGTACGCGCACGGGCACGCAAACACAACCCACCCCCCGTCCCTCCCCAGCAACAACATCGAACGTTTCACACACGCGCACAGAGAGATAGATAGATATATATATATATATATATATATATATATAGAGAGAGAGAGAGAGAGAGAGAGAGAGTGAGAGAGAGAGAGAGAGAGTGAGAGCGAGCGAGGGGGCGGGAGGGAGAGAGATGAAGCCGTGTTCAATGTGCTACACTAATTATTGAAATTATTACATTGGCCGTGTACAGCTCGGTGAATTATAGTTTACAAGCGAATGCAACTGAGAAATTATTGTGCGCCTCGCTACACGCGCTTAATAACTTTCTTCTTTTTCTCACGTACGAGCATTTTTTGTACAATTATGTAAAGTAAATTTTCAAAGTTCATTTGATACAGCCTTTTTCGCATTTGCATTCGTTCGTCCGTCGTTTATTTATAATTTTGCCATTTATATTTATTTTAATCGTTCGTTAATGATAACGAGCACGAAACATAATAGATTATATAACTGAATAATTAGGAAAAATCTAGGGAAAGCTCGTAAATAGGTAAATAGTAAAGATAGATGGCATTGATGTGACTATAAAATAAACGAAATGTCATTAGACCGCCTGAACTACAAAATTTTACCAAATACTTAATTATGGAAAATGAGAATGAGAAGTTTATGGGAATCAATAATGAATTAGTGATCGGAAATTATGAAAGAATTGCCATTCGAATGTGACTTGCTATTATGATTAAAGCAACGGTTAACGCAGCAACATTAACATTTAAACCGGAGTTTACTTTTCTTTTCTAAAACTTTAATTGAGTCCTGCTTATACGCTATTTGGCTTGTTGTTGTTATTATTATTATTATTATTATTATTATTATTATTATTATTTTTTTTTCTTTCTTTCTTTCCGTCTTTTTTTCATCTATGTTGTTAATTTTTTTTATTTTGTCGCTGTTTGTTTTTAAGTATTACTAGTTATGACATGGCATTTTTCGCTTAAAATTGCGCCTCTTTCAAACTGAAATAGTTTCGTTTTAGAGCGGCATTCAACTTACTCGAAAGTAAATTGAAGATTAAAAATTTTCATTCGTATCAGATCTCATTTTATTTCTGTCATTCAATTTCCACATTTTGCATTAAAATCGTAAAGTATATATCCCCTTGATATTTTTCTCATTCTTCGAGTTATGTAAATCCCGCATCTAATGAAAATATTATATATATTATAAATGAGCTAACGATAAAAATTGAAATATTATTGATTTTATTATGGGCAGGCTTTCTTATAATTTCTAATTTTAATGCAAAGTAATTCGTAATTTGAAACAAAGACGTTAATCTAATGCCATAGGACAAAAGGAAAAGAAAAGAATAGATAAGAGAAAACGAGGAAAAAAAGCCCCATAAGATTTTATGATGATAGTGTTACGTTAGATGTTGGCTCTATTCCCGATAAGATCTGGATAATACGAAATTTCGTGGCATCGAATTAAAAAATTAATAATATACTTTTATGTGTTTTATGTTCAACTGCAATATTGAGCTTCGTTCGTTTTAAAAAACAAAAGTTAAACTAGAGCAACTAAATTGATAAGGAGAATGATAAAGTGCTTCATTTGCATAATACATTTAACGAAAGAATGGACATTTTGGCTCTTTATAGACATATTTAAAATTTAAAACAATATGAGCAAGAAGTTCATACTGAGACTCCCATCGTGTTCTTCGAGTAATAAATAATCGAGATTTGCATACAAATCTACTTAAAGAATATCTTTTTTGCCTGGTTTCCTATAATATTTGAGCGCGGTGTTGTTTTTTCGCCCAAACACGTCGTTATGATAATCAACGCTTTATTCTATATCGATGAAATATGACACTGTTCGAGTGAGAGTGGAGTGTGGAGTGCTGG